AAAAATGAATTATTAAACAAAAGAAATAGCAGAGGAAAATTAAAGTGATATGAAGAGGAACTTCTTCTCTCCCCACAATTCTAAGCGTGGTGGACTCGATTGGGGCTCAGTTGTTACATGGGCATCCAAAGCGAATTTTGTAGTCTCTGCACTTGCCAGTAGTCTGGTCCTTATTGCGGCAAACAAATCCGTCAGTTGGATTGTACCTGAAAAAAATGAGCACAAAGTAAGCTACAAATATGCTTAATGTTTTTATTTTATTTTATTATTACGTTGATAATAATCTAAAACAGGAACTTGTGTTTATTGTACAAAGACATACATATTTAGTTAGTAGGTCTAATTTGCCCACCATAAAATAATTAAAGTGCACAGAGTAAAGCAGAGTAAAGATGTATGGTCAAATGTACCTTGTATTCTCCAGCACTTTACTCCACAGTCAATAAGACTGGTAAAGTAATATGTAAATGTCAGTTCATTTCCACTGTTTAATGAGGCATGTTGGTTAAACCATACTTACTTTTGTTGTTGCAGTTGTCTTTTTTTTTAATGATAAAAATAGATGACCTGGTTTCGCAATAGTGCTGTTGGCAGGTCCAATAAAAATGAATTTTACTCATCCAAATGTCTTGTGTAATTTGTTTTTTTATAAGTGTAAATGTGAAATGTCTCAAACATCCTATTTAAATAAGATAAAATAATCACAAGTAAATCATTTCCTGTCATGTATTACTTTTTCTTTCTCATAACACACATATTGTTTAAGTCAACCCAGTAATACAAGAATGAATTTCGACATTATGCAGTTCCCTCAGGAAAAATGATCACCCTTACAAATATAACTGAATTCCCATTCGTTGTTTAAGAAGTATCTTCAGGCAGAACATGTCTAAAATTTGGAAACTTGAGGCAAGAGGCGTTGTTGCTGAACAACGTTTGTACCAAACGTGAAGCTTTTATTGTTTTCTTAGGAGGCAGCTTACATGTAAAAGGTCTCCCCTGTGTAGATGGCTGGGGTCATCGTGTCAGTGGTAACAGCGTCCACATACAGAGGGTTGTCACAAATTTTGTATTGTTTCTTCAGTTCACTTAAAACCTCCCAGTCTCCTGTTGCACCAGGATTATCGCGATTAAACCAGCTGGTCCAACACACTGCAGCGAGTAAATACGGACAAAGCATGCCTGTTAGAAAACTACAGAACCAAAGCAACATTTTAAATGACTGTCTATACTTTATGCAATAAAAAAAAGCAAGAAATCAGTTTGCATTAGGAGCTTAATATTCCACATGCAGAATGTAGTGATACCTCCTCTGTCACAAAACGGGGGATAGCAGCTGAAGCGAACACGATAATCGTTGCACTTCTTTTTCTTGATCTGGTCTTTGTTTCTGCAGATGAATCCTGAAGTTATGTCATTTCTAAAAAAGAAAAAAGAAAAGAAGGAGACCGACATGAAACTGACTAAGAGCAGCCTAATGGCTGTAACCACTTAAGTGTATTTGCATTTTTTAGACATGTTAATGCATGGTTAAAGGCATGGCAATCAAACTCTGTCAGCCCATCTGTCTGTCTGTTGATTTGTCACCACTGTGGTACAGGCTGCAATATCTCCAAAACACTGGATGGATTGCTGTGGCATATGGTTCATGTCACACTTTGGTGAATCCTCAAACTGTGTCCAACTTAAACAGTGAAAATGCAAATGCTGCCAATTCCATAGAATATATCACTCACACACACTTTTTCACATATTTTTTCTTCTACTGTTCTTACTTGTAAATCACGTCCCCTGCTGCAGCCACAGTGAGCCCAGATAGAGTCTTGGCTTCGATAGCTGCTGGTCTAGGGCAGATCTTTCCAGGGTTCTCTTTGCGGAGCCTGCAAAGAGTTTCCCAGTCTCCAGATGCAGAAGGGTCGTCTCTATCGAACCATTCTGTCCAGCATCCTGGAAAAGGGTCAAATTCAGATAATTTAGCAACTTTGAAAGCTTTTCTGTAAATGTTTTCATTTGACTAAGACAAATTGTGAATGTTAAAAAAGATGGCTGTGATGGACAGTGGTGTGAAAAAGTATTTAGTTTCAGATCATCAAAGAAACTTAAATATTAGACAAGGATAACATAAGTAAACACAAAATGCATTTTCTAAATGAAGGTGTTTATGATTTAAGGGAAATAAATCCAAACCTACATGGCTCTGTGTGAAAAAGTGATTGCCCCCTAAACCTAATAACTGGTTGGACCAACCCTTAGCAGCAAAAACTGCAATCAAGAGGAATTTTGGACCAATCATCTTTGCATAATTGTTGCAACTTTGCCACATTGTAGGGTTTTCAAGCATGAAACGGCTTTTTAAGGTCATGCCACAGCATCTCCTTTGGATTCAGGTCAGGACTTTGATTGGGCCGCTCCAAAGTCTTCATTTTGTTTTTCTTAAGTCGTCATCAATGTGCTCTTGGAGTAATTTTGGTCACTCTTGGGAAGCTTTACCGTTGTTCCAAGTTTTCTCATTTTGTATATAATGGCTACTACGTTGGTTCACTGGAGTCCCAAAGCCTTACTTTCTCCCTTAATCACTGAAATCCTCATTTAAAAACTGAATTTCATATTAACTTGGGTTATCTTTGTCTAATATTAAAAATTGTTTGATGATCTGAAATATGTAAGTGTGAAAAACATGCAAAACACTAGGAAATCAGGGGGGCAAACACTTTTTTGCACTGTAACTGCAAATGAGAAAACAAAATGTGATCTCCTTACGAATGTTGATGGGATAGAAGCAGGGCTTTCCTGAAATGCAGAAAATGAAGAAACAGCAGAAAGTGAGACTTTAAAAATTGCACAAACTGATCAATTAAAATACATCGATTGTTTTTCAAATACAATGAATTTGATACTTTAGATGGTGAGAAAATGAGAGTTAATACTGTGTGATTACCAAAAAAAAGAGGAAAGTCCTATTTTATCAGGAAACTGATAAAAAGGATAAAATAGCTACTCCTGTGTGACAAATGAAACACTAAATTTTCCACCTTAGGAACTTAGAAACTTCACTTCACTTTGGGTTATATTAAAGTGAACGGTCTTCTTTTGTTCCTTAAAATCAGACACGCACTCGAGGCGTAGGTTGCTTTCTAGTAAATATAAATGCTATAATGTCATTTTATTTGTGATGGTGTACAGTGCTAATGGCTTTGTGTACCTGTCAAAGTTATTTAATTAAATGTATTTAATTTAGTTAAATACACCTTAAAAGATAAGATAAGAAAAAATCTGAATTTCCACTGTCACATCAACACATTTAACACATAATCCAGTAAACAGTTTAATGTGCATTTAGCAACCAAGCTTTAGCAACCAATTAAAAAAATGTAGAATATAGATGTAAATGTATAGAATAATACATCATCATTTTGGGGGCATTGTTTGACATCACAATATAAGCAAATATTTCTCTCATTTCAAAGTATGCCACTGACTACACATTGGGTGTGACACATAGTGAAGGGTCTTACTATTTCCATCCTCTTCTTCCTTTGAACTAGATTCACTGGAGTCCTGCTTTTTCCTTTCTAGTAAACATAAGAAGAATAACAGTCCTTACAGTTCATGGAGTTCCAAGACATTACAAAGTTCTTCCACCGTGATTAAAATACACCACACTGTATGTGATACTGATACACAGTGTTGAAGGCTCTTACCGTTCTTTTCTTCCTTTGAACTAGATTCACTGGAGTCCTGCTCTTTGCTTCCTATTAAGTGGAATAATGTTGTATTTTGTTACAGTGTACAATTCTTGTCAAATTTGAATAATTTTACAAGAAGATGCAAAGCTCTTCAACAGAGACTGAAGATATGCACATTTTACATGGTATTAATCAAGTTATAATGAAGGATCTCACCCTTGTTATCTTTTGGTTTCTTAGAACTGGAGCCTCTTGAATTTTCTAGTTAAAATGAATAAAAAGATCTTTTGTGATTGTGTACAGCTCTGGGAGTTTACAAAATTGTCAAAATTGAATACATTTACAAGAAGCT